TGGGGCGGGGACTTCTGGAGGGAAGTCTTAAGAGGAGGAGAAGATGGCAGGAACTATCGCTTGGCATGATTAGCCTTTTGGTACTTGGTATTTCAACCAAGTATATGTGGTTCTTAATGTTTTTTAATTGTTAATGAGTATGATAAAATGGAGTGGAAATTCTGGAGAGTGGTGAAAAGGAATGGTCGGAAGGGCATTTGGGGAAGAAAGCACAGAGCAGTGTTGAGGTGGGAGGTCGGGAGTGGACAGATGGTGAGTGCTAGCTTGCATGCCGGGAATGAGCGGCTCGGTGGTATTCACCGGCTTTGAGGCTCTGACCAGAGCTCGGGTATAGTTTCTGTGCCAGCACAAACCAGCATTAGGTGGGTGGCGGTGAGGCCACGTGCTGGACACTGGGATCCAACCCAGGGCCTGTGGTCTCAACACAGAGTTTCATATAGAACTTTGGGTTTTGTTTGTTTGTTTTTTAAAGAAAGTTATTTTGTGTCACAGCAAAACTCAAGGATATGGTAGCACTAGACCCAGATTAGAATATGCTGCTCAGCCAGTGGTCACAGAACCTTCCATCCTCGGCACGACTGAGGCCTGAGTTCTTATGGGAGGAATCAGGCCTCTCTTGGCTTCTAGCCCTGCAGTGTCCAGAGCTGTGTGGCAAGATTGGCGTGGTGAAGCCAGGAGGCCAGATGGCAGCCATGTCCATTTCAGCCCTTTCTGGTCTCGATGCAAGATCTTCAGCACCTGCAGAGCCTGGCCTCTCAGAGAGATTCGGGAAGCAGAGGGGCTGTAGTCTTGATGGGCCTCCAGACCAGGGGGAGCTGAGCCCTGATGCAGCTGCTGGCCTCAGGGGGCTATGGGCACAGCCCACGGAGATTCTGCCCTGTACACATAGACCTTGGGTTTTTTCTGAGCCTGGCGGGTGCTGCCTCAAAGTCAAGAATGCTTCACCCTCTCCCTCTCGTGTGTGACAGGCTTGTGTGTGACACAGAATACTCCCTGAGGCTCCAGAGCCCCCCAGGCCTACCATGCAGTCACCCCATATCCTCAGCACTTTGAAAACTCCAAAACATCCTCTCTGTTGTCCTCACACTTCCCAGTCTCAAGGTTGGGCCTTGCCTCTCTTTTTGCTTCAAAGCACTATGCTCTGATCCAGGTTAATTTCTTTCGGGGCCAAACCTTTCAAGTAAAAATGGTCATTTTTTTTTTCAATGCAGTTTGTGGAACTCTAATGAAATTGTTCAGGGAAAGGAGTGAGGGAGGAGACTTTAAAAATAATTCCTAATTTCAGAGCTTCCTAATATATGGTCTCTGAACACTAGAATCAGCTGGGGAGCTTAGAGTTACAGGAGTAGGAATAAGGCCCGGGGCTCAGACTTTATTGTAAGGTCTTGGGAGTTTGAGAACCCTGGTCTGGTTCTTGGAATACAAAGATGCATCTGTTCTTGTGTGGGAGGTGGGAAATCGCCTTTTCGTTCTTTCTCCTACAAGTCATGTATTTATACCATTGTAGGCAGAATCACGGGAATCTTCTTCTCCAGGTTATCTCTATATACACAGGTAGAGTATGTTTATCCCATGCCCTGAAATGGAAGTGGATCAAGTGTTGAGAGAATGTAGAGAAGAGAGCCATTTCCCAGGGGTGATGGGTGCCTGAATGAGGAAGGGAGGACACACTGGGGACAGAAGGGTCAAGTGCAGCAGTACAGCCCCCTGAAAACACTTGTTTGGCTGATGCACACAGTTAGTGCTTAGGCAGGGCAGGTCTTCCTTATCATACCCCAGGTCCTGGGGCTAGCTGGGCTTCTGAGTTTTGTTTTTTTGAGTTTATTTAACGCATACGAGCTCCCCCCTTTGCCCCACACCCTCTGCCCAGGCAAGCACAGCTTAATCAAATGTATTGCTGGAAATCGAATCAGCAGCCAGTTGTGGAAATCTATAGGGACATAAATTCTAGATGTGCTGGAGTGTGGAGAGCAATGCCTGCTTTTTGGAAAGAATGGCATTGGGGGTTTAATTTATTAATTATAATGGGATTTCCTCTTTGTAGTAAATAGATTTTATTATAGAAATCCTCATTACCTTTAGTATCAGAAAAGTCCACAAATCCATTTTGACATTTTCATAATAATCATGACAGAAAAATCTGATTGGCATATTATTTTGAAAAATGAAACTCAAGAGTATAAAAGGTGTCTTTTAATTTTACAGTTAACAACATCTAAGTTACGGTTGCAACCATGAGCCTGTTCATAGAAGAAGTAAATCTCGATTGTGTCCGACAGCGTTCTGGGGGAAGTGAGGCCATTATTTTTCCAGTGCCATGTTCACTCATTCAGCAGGTGTTTATTAAGCACCTCTTACGTGCCCATCGCCGCTTTAGGCACTAAGATACAGTAATCAGCAACAAAGTTCCTGTCCTTATGGATCTTCTTTTCTAGTGAAAGAAAAGGACTGCAAATAAATGTACATGTAAAGGCTGAAGGAAAATCGAGCGAGAGGAGGAGAGAGGTTGTGGCTTCAGTTGTGCAGTGGTGCTTGAAGATTAGTCTCTCTCTTCACAGTTGACTTCACAGAATGATTTAAAAACAGTAGCCAAGGGCCTCATCAGTTTCCCAAGATCCTCTCTCAGTCCTGTTCAGAGTACTTTGAAGGGCTCATGTCTCTATCCTTCATCCCTTCTCGATTGCTAATTCTGCCAAGTCTTGTTTGGCAGGGGTTTTCCGTGACCAGTTCTCCAACACTACTTTCACTAAACTCTGATCTTTCAGAAAATTGATTTTGCATTTTCCTGCAGTCTGTGAGTAAGGAGTGTGCAATTCATGCTTGTCCCCGTGTAATTTTTATTAGCCCTCCCCTTCACTCTCAGCAGTTCTTAGACGGGACGCACAATGGGTAGGGTATTAAGCAAGGCTAGATGTTTCTAAGTGGTTATATCCATTTATAAACATTTTTATATTATGACTTTTGATTTCCTGGAAAACTCTATAACTGTGGAGACTTAGATGATAAACATTCAACAGAATAGAGCCGCTTTTAGAGTAATGTGAGCCTTGCATATCAGCCACACCGGCGGCCAGTTTGTATAGGTTCATTATGATTTTTGACTGGACGTGAATGTGGTGTGGCCCTGCTGTACGAAGCCCTGGGGAGCTGCCCCGAGGAGTGGGCATGTGGATACCTGATAAGTCCTCAGAAGGTGCTGTTGGCATCCAGACTTGTTGGCATCTCATAAGAATTAAAAGCATATCATGGGTTTCTTTTAAGTGTAAACACTGAGAACATATTAATGTTTTAAGAGATTAAACTCTATAAACAGAATGGAGTAGACTAGAATCTGTTTCCTTCTCCTTTATGAAGTAAAACCTGGACCCTTCATTCCTCAGGACTGAATAACTTTGTTTATACAGTGGTCCTTCTGCAGTCTTATTAAAATGCTTTATATAAGGACTATAGCCATATTCTCAAAGAGCCTTCTTATTTGGGATGTGTTAATGTAATAAACGAAGGAATAGCAAAGAATGTGAGTTTCTTCTTGTCTAGGATATGGAACCTATGTTATCTTTGTATTTCTGATAATGGTAGCCAGTGGGAGGACACAAAAGCTTCAAATTCTGTGCCCTATAATCTATGGCCTGAGGAGGTGCTGTTGGAACTTCATGTGTAGAATATGAAAAGGAAGTAAAACTATCAAAGAAAAACAAACAGAGAAAACCTCCTCCACCTTTTGTGAGTGTGGCTGTTAAAAGAGGGCAAGGCGTTGAGTGTTACTGTGCTGGCGCTTGGGTGTGGCAGCCTCCTAGTGTGATAGCCCCCTAGCGTGACAGCTCCCCAGTGTGACCACAGGATGGGTGTTGCTTCCTGAGAAAGGTAGGGGGTTGGGTGGGATTAGAAAAAAAAATCATTGACTTCTCTGATTGTCATACTTACTGTCTGTCCTGGAACACTTACCACCTCTTTCAATAATTGTTTCATCTGTAGTATCATTCTGTCTCCAAAGAGCTCTGTTCCCCTAAAAAAAGACAGGGAATACACTGTAATAGCTGGCTGGTACTGCATGTGTCGCAGGGAATAATGAGGACACAATTGTCATGCTCAGTAATAAATGCTGAGGCGTACGTTTTTTCATGTTCTAATATCCCTGAAATCAAGATGGGATTTTCGAAGCATGTTGTCACAGTTTAATGGGCAGTGTTTTTTCTTAATAGTAGAAAAAATAATGCCTCACTGGTTTTGATGAACTCCATTAAGGATTTTCATATTCTTGATATAAAGATTTGTATAATGAAATTATTTAAGTTCCAGCAGATGTTATGTTGGTTGTCAGTTGATATTCAATATGGTAAAATTTGAGATATGGTTAAAAAAAAGACATTATCTTGAAGTGAGTACACACTGAGCCATAAAGATCAAAGTAATGGGGGGCACAAGGTGAGGGGCTGCCCACTTTGCCGTAGATCGGGAATTAATTTGAAGCAAACCAGGAGAGGGTTTTGTCTGGATGAAGGCCCAGGGAGGTAGCGAGCAAGCTCACCTGCCTGTCATTAGCCCGAGAGGTCTTTGGGGTCAGCCCGTGAGAACTCACACGCCATGTCCTGAGCAGAGGGGCGCCGAAGAGGCCGTCGAAGCCCCGGGATGCAGTAAGCCCTCACTCAGTGGCGTTGATTGGTTCTGTGACTTGAAGCAAAACAACATGTAACAAAGCCAATTTTACCACAGGCTGAATAATATAAACAAGAGTTAAGTGCCTGTGGCACCTCATCCACATTATAAGGAAATGACATTGAATGAAACGTTATTGGAAGACCTGCTGTATAACTTTTGGGGTTGGCAATTAAATGAGAGAAAAGGAAAAAACAACAAAGGGACGGGGCACTGATCCTCAAGTGAAAAAAAATTATATTAATCTCTTTAAGATAAAAGTGTGTTTTCATCCTAACTGTTGAACCGAGAAGACTGAGTTCGTGGTGCCGTTCTGTGACTAACTGCCTGTCCTTCTACCGCAGATCGCCTTCTCCCAGCACAGCAATTTTATGGACCTGGTACAGTTCTTTGTGACTTTCTTCAGGTAATTTCGCTAATACAGACTATATCTGTTCTTCTGATTCAGGTCTTAATTCCATTAATTATCTGCTCATAAAAGATAAATGAATATCCTGAGTTTCCACAACCGATCAAACTAATTGTGTTTATATTCCTGAAAAGTTACATGTCAGTAACAATAGCGTAAATTCGGCCTCATCTGGTAAAATGAAAACATGGGCTTTGTGTGTCCTGGCTTTTTTGAGGCAGCTTTTCATGTACCCTGTGCTAAAATGTAGATAAATTGGCTCTTCATACGGGGAGAATTTGGGGTTGAAACAACAATTTATAATGATTATTGGTGAGTGCTACATACATACTTCCTTTTGTTCAAGAAATGTTTTAAGTGATTACGGTTTTAAAGCTAAATGACTTGTTAAGCCCTTGGGATTTTTTTTATTATAGGGTTTGGTTTTTTTTGTTTTTTTTTGTTTTTTTTCCAGTTTAATTATATATATACTTTTAAAGATTTTAATTTTATTTATTTTTAGAGAGGGAAGGGAGGGAGAAAGAGAGAGAGAAACATCTATGTGCAATTGCTGGAGGCCATGGCCTGCAACCTAGGCATGTACCCTGACTGGGAATCGAACCTGTGACACTTTGGTTCGCAGCCCGTGCTCAATCCACTGAGCTACACCAGCCAGGGCATCAGTTTAATTATATTTTAATGAAAATACTCTATACACATATTGAAAAAGACAAGCCCTACAGTGCTAATAAGAGAAAACAGCAGCAGCCTGCACCCCCCCCACCTTCCCACCCCTCCCTTCTCCCCAGTTTAAATGGTTTTAGCTATTTTTACTTATCCAGGAGTACACTATTTCTTGATTTTTCAGTTCAGTTATCTTCTGATGTCCTACCACAGAAGATGAGGATTGATTATGTTATGTTACCTCATTCAACAGTGCCCCACACCACAAGAACACATAAAATCCCCTTCCTCTCATTCACTTAATATAGTCCCACCACAATGCTTGGCTAAATCAGTCATCCCTGTTTACGTTAGGACTATACAACTCCTGTTCATGGGTAAATTGAATTGTGATTGTACTTCCTCAGTTTTTGGATGGGTGGTCACTCTTTGCTTCTTCTAAATGTAATATTTCCCATATTTTGTTTTTTTTTTTTAATTGTTTGGTTTTCTAGGTAGCCACCTCTGATTCATCCTGTACTCTAACAGAACTGAAAAATCTCTCAGTTTGGTCACACATAAGCAGGTACCCTCTTGGTTTTAGTTTCTCTTGGAGATGTCTGCCCTAGAACCCTTCAGCCTGCTCCTCAGTGCACTGCTTCTTGAGGCCTGAAGCACAGCTGTCACCTTGGGAGTTTCTTTTGCTTTCGTCTTACATTGAAATCTCCATTTCCCACATCTTAGGTCTTCATTTCCCTGTTTACTCCCTCCTTCTACTGGGGCACATTCTCCAGGAGATTTCTGAGAAAAGGTGCAGGGGAGGTAACTTTTCTGTGACCTTCCTGTCTGAAAAAAAAATCTTAATTTTACCCTCACGGTTCTTGAAAATCAAATACAGAATTCTAGGTTGGAAATGATTTTCTGTTAGAATTTAGAAGGCATTATGCTGTTCCTCTGTCTTCCAGTATCATTAACAAAAAGGCTAATGCCATTAAAATTTCCATTCCTTGTACAGAATCTTAAGGAAATTTCACTTTTAAAAATTATATTGAGCCCTGGCTGGTGTAGCTCAATCCCTGAGCCACTGGATTGAGTGCCAGCCTGCAAACCAAAGGGTCGCTGGTTCAATTTCCAGTCAGGGCACATGCCTGGGTTTCAGGCCAGGTCCCAGTAGGGGGCACATGAGAGGCAACCACACACTGATGTTTCTCTCCCTCTCTTTCTCCCTCCCTCCCCCTCTCTCTAAAAATAAATAAACTAAAAAATTACATAAACACCACTCATAAATGTCTAGCTCAATGAATGATCACAAATTGAACATACTTATGTAACTACTGCCCAGGACAAACGATATAATATTACTAGTACACTAGAAGCTCCCTATATTTCCATCAATTACAGCTACTATCTTCCCCAAAAGTAACTGTTTACCTGACTTCTAAAACTATATATTGCTTTTTCCCATTTTAAAATTTATATTAATTAGCCCTAGCTGGTGTGGCCCAGTGGACTTAGCACTGGACTATGAACCAAAGGGTCGCCAGTTTGATTCCCAGTCAGGGCACATGCCTGGGTTGTAGGCCAGGTCCCCAGTAGGAGGTGTGTGAGAGGCAACCACACATTGACGTTTCTCCTCCTCTCTTTCTCTCTCCCTTTCCCTCTCTAAAAAATAAATAAATAAAATCTATTTAAAAATGAAATTTATATTAATAGTAAATCACAACTGAAATTGTAAAATCACTTGAACTAACAAATGAAGAAAATATTAAGAGAATGTAGGATGCAGTTAAAGTTGTATGTAGGCGGTATATCTTTAAATCTGTAGGGGGTATATCTTTAAATCTCCAGCTTAATGGCACAGTAGGAGTACTTGGGGAACTTTTGATGTCTGAGCCACATCCCAGACCAGTTATATCAGAATCTCTGGGGATGGGTCAAGCATTTGACAGCTCCCCAGCTAATTCCAACATGCAGTTGAGATTGAAAATCACTGCTCTATAAAATGTTGGAAAAGAAAAAACACTCCTTTCAATAAATCAGAGAAAGAACTGCTAATTAAACCTAAAGAGAGTAGAAGGAAGGAATATAAATAGAGCAAAATTAATGATATAGGGGAAGAAGTACATGGAGGGGATTGAAATAACCACAAGTTAGATCTTTGAAAAGAATGAGAATAATGTTGTAAATCCCTGGCAAGACTGACCAAGAAAAAAAGAGAGAAGTTATACACTGTCAGAAATAAAAAAAAGGACATTACTTCAAATCCTACAGACTTTTTTCCCCTCCACAAGAATACTTTATGAACAACTTTATGGGGATAAATTTGAAGATGGAACAGATGGAATGGGACAATTAAAAAACTATGTACAACTTACCAAAACTGACACAGAAGAAATAAGAAATCTAAATAGTCCTGTGTCTACTTTTAAAACGATACATAATTTAAAAATTTCCCACAAAGATAACTATAGGCCCAGGTCATTTCATGGTAACTTATACCCTTTTAAGGAAAAAATAATACCAATATTAACCAGATCTTCTAGAGAACAGAAGAGAGAATACACACCAATTCATTTTATGAATTTAGCACAACCTGACAAAAATATTATGAGAAACAAATTTACAAGCCAGTCTCATGAAGGAGGAAGCAAAAATCTACCGATAATAATGAACATTGAGAGTTCTGGCCAAGGTGGAGGTGTAGGTAGAAACACTGCTTCCTTGCACAGCCAAAACAAGGATAACAACCAGAACTGCCAGAATAGCAATGTGCATGGAACTCCAACAACCAAGGAGTTAAAGAAACATTCATCCAGACTAGTAGGCGGGGCAGAGATGGGCAGCTGGGTGGACAGAGAGGACCCACCACAAGGCTGCAGATCACACAGGGGAGGAGAGGCTGGCTCACCTGGAAACTAAAAACTCAAAACTTCTAGTTATAAAATACTGTGAGGGTTGCAAAGGTGGGAGAAACTCCCAGTCTCACGCCAGAGTTCATTGGAAAGTGGGGCTAGAGCAGAGTGAGTGAGATTGCCTTGTTCCCTTTCTGACTCCTCCCGGACAGACAGCTCTACAATGCAGCAAAGAGGATTGACACACACTGGTGAATACCCAGGCCTCTGCCCCTTACAACTTAACAGGTGCACCGAGACAAAGAAATAAGGCTCAGATGAAAGAACAGATCAAAACTACAGAAAAAGAGGTAAGCATTGAGGAGATAGACAACCTATCTGATGCTGAGTTCAAAACACTGGTAATCAGGATGCTCAAAGAATTGATTGAGCTCGGTCCCAAAATGAAGGAAGAAATGAAGGCTACACAAAATGAAATAAAGCAAAATACACAGGGGACTAACAGTGAAGGGAAGGAAAATGGAACTCAAGTCAACAATTTGGAACAAAAGAAGAAATATACATTTGACCAGAACAAAATGAAGAAACAAGAATTCAAAAAAACGAAGAGAGGCTTAGGAATCTCCAGGACAACTTTAAATGTTCCAACATCAGAATCATAGGGGTGCCAGAAAGAAAAAAGGAAGAGCAAGAAATTGAAACCCTATTTGAACAAATAATGAAGGAGAATTCTTATCTGGTAAAGGAAATAGAAAATTTTTCTGGTTCCAGGAAATCCAGGAAGTTGAGTCCCAAAGAAGTTGGACCCAAGGAAGCACTCACCAAGGCACATCATAATTCATTACCCAAGATTAAAGAGAAAGAGAGAATCTGAAAAGCAGCAAGAGAAAAAGAGACAGTTACCTACAAAGGAGTGCCTATAAGACTATCAGCTGATTTCTCAAAAGAAACCTTGCAGGCAAGAAGGGGTTGGAAAGAAGTATTCCAGGTCATGAAAGGAAGGGACCTTTATCCAAGATTACTCTATCCAGCAAAGCTATCATTTAGAAAGGAAAGGCAGATAAAGTACTTCCCAGATAGGGTCAAGTTCAAGGAGTTCATCATCACCAAGCCCTTATTATATGAAATGTTAAAGGGACTTAATCTAAGAAAAAATATCAAAACTATGAACAGTAAAATGACAACAAACTCACAATTATCAATAACTGAACCCTCCCCCTCCCCACCACCTGCCAAAACTAAGCAAGCACTAGAACAGGAACAGAATCACAGATATGAACACCACCTGGAGGGTTATCAGCAGGGAGGAGGATGTGGGAGAATGTGGGGGAAAGGTGCAGGGAATAAGAAGCATACATGGTAGGCATAAAATAGATGGATAGGTTAAGAATAGTATGAGATACAGAGAAGCCAAAGAACTTATATGTATAACCCATGGACATGAACTAAGGGGTAGGAGGGTGGTTGCTTGAGGGTGGGGAGGTACAGGGCAGAAGGGGGATA